ATTTGCATTTTAGCTCTGCTCGTAAAATTCTTGTGCATACTCGGAGCTCATTTACACATGTATTGTTAGAGAGTTTGGTTTACGCAAAAGATTATTTGTGTAAACCTTGAAAATGTATAATAATGTCTCCTTTTGAATTATTGCAACCTTTGGTGAATAACTTTGGGTAGGTGATGAAATACAATCGTTTGGTTAAATTAGACATGTTAATATCATGTATTCTACTCTTTACTAGTACTGCAATAAGGTTGTGTAGCCTTCTGAATAAACTTTCCAAAGAGCCAAAATTTATCGAAAATGAACTCCGGAGCAACAAGTTATGACCTTTTTTTTTTTTGGTGCTATCAAGGAAAGTCAGAATTTTTGGGCCCTTAGCCCAGAAGTTTCTAACAGAACTATCTGTTCAGCCTATGAAACTGCTAGGAAGTCCTGAGCCTCAGGCCAGAAAGTTCCGGGCTGCTGTTTCTTGAGTAACGGCTTGTTTTTGGGCCCGAGTTTTTAAACCCCTCCATTCTCTCCTATGTTTGCTGCTAGGTTTGGGCAACAATATACTTATTCAAAGCCAAATAACACCTATGTGACATCTTGGACTAACTAGGATAAGGCCTGTGTGGCCCATGAGAGCTATGTGCGCATGTTTAGTACCACCGTGCTAATTTAGCGAGGATGGAACCAACTTATAAGGCATCTTCCCTCCAACCATATCACTCTATGGATAGCATCGGGGGTTTGTTTCATGATCCGTTTTATGTATATTTGCCACTTATATAGGTAGATCACGATATATAAATACATCAAGTTAGATCGATCTCGATTAAATTTCATATTTGGTGATCGGTTGTTATTTTATATATTAAGTTAGATCGATCTCGATTAAATTTCCTTTTTGGTGATCGGTTGTTATTTTATATATTTAAATTGATTTGTTAATATAATTTGTATTGGAGTACTAGCCAATATGTTATCTATGTTTGCTCTAAACAATGATCTATCAGCTATTTCCATAATACTGTCTTAAAGTGATTGATATAAACAAAAGGGATGATATTACAACTGATAGGACATATTAAGGGTTTTGTTTTACTTGTCCATCAGAAAACCGCAGCCGATTTGGTCTAACTGTATCGGTTGGGTCCTGACGATACGTCATTGGCTCTATCGGCCGATAAACTACCTTTCATCTAATTACGGTTTATGTTTTTCGTTGCTGGTTGCAGGATCAAACCAGCTAGCACGCTCTTGACACTCGAGGCACGCCTTGGACCTGCATTGGAGTGAAGCAAATCTCCCAGGTCGCCGTGTTTTCTGTCAACAATGGCGGCTTGACTTGTCAGGCCGAGGTAATAGCCGACCGAATTTGTTGATGGCGTCAACAGGACCATCTGGCTGTACATGACATATCCAAGATCTACGGGTTAGTTTGATGGGATATATGGAAATTTGTCAGGATTGTGATATCCGGATACATTGTAACATACTGGATCAAGGAGGAGCACATGTAATTTGTGGCTTGGGAATGTAGCATGTAGGCTATGGCTGAACCTTTTTAACAAATATCGTACCTCGGTGTCATGTTTGGTATTCTATGAATATCGTATGTTTATGTTCATTTTAACAAATATCGTATATATGTTCATTTTATGCATTTGGTTCCCGATGTATATATAGGAGCCGATTTTACAACTTATTGTCAACAATCCTATTCCTCGTCTAACAATAAGGCACCGATGTATGTAGATCATAATTAAGATAAGGCAACTAGCAACAGATCATGAACTGTAAAATACAAACTAATCAACCATGATAGCTTCTGAATCAGGATACATCCTCACCAATTCCTCACGGATGTCAGCTGGACAAGTGGTGGCGATGTCAAGATGGAGAGCAGTACCGCTCAGTTGATCTATGGCAGCGTGGATCACTGGCGATTGCATGATGGAGGAGTGGCTGTGGTGGAGCGGTGGACGAGCAACATCAAGGTGGAGGAGCAGCGGGATATGCCCCTGGGATCTATGGCGATAGCGTGGTGGATGATAGATGGCAGTTGCCTGGACAAGCAGTGTCGGGGCGAGTGGTGCCTCCTAGTCTATCTGTATGTGGCTTGCCTGATCCCTTCTCCCCACACTAAAATTTCTTCATGCACAAAATTTTGATTGTACACATTTGAACCGAACTATGTCTCATTCTTGAAGATGGTCCTTATGACGCCCATTTTTCCTCACTTTCCTTGTTATTTTGGCGTTATGAGCCAACTCTGCGTTGTTCTTATGCGTAGAGACAATGTTTATGTGAACTCCTCTCTCTTTCCTCCATGTCATCAAATCAGTTTACGTGGCAACCGAGAGGGCTTGCTAAAAAGACCATTGTACATGACCTTATAAGTTAGAGAACTTGATATGAAGAAGTGACAGTTGGATGCAACAATGTCACACACAACTCCGTGGCCTCTAGCGTTTTCATCATCAATAGCATACCATGGATCACCATACCGGCTTGGTATGATGGTCAAAGTCTCAAAGAGTGCCATTTGGCATGTGCTGCGGTGAAATACCCTATGCTTTTGAGCAAGCTAGAAAAGTTCAAAGGATGAGTCACTTGAAGCCCTACTATATTGCCAATTTGCCATTGCATATACATGAGTTCAAGCAATAACTTGACAACATTAGTTAGCTAGGAAAGTTTCATGCTGATCAAATTTCCTATTTCACTGAACGTGGAACTTGAATTGTATGCCATCAAATTCAAAATTTGTAATCCAGATCATCAAGTCGTACAATGGCATACGCCACATGGGAGCTCATCGAACAAACTTCAGTTCCAAAGGAGTTATCATGATTTGCCTAGTGGTACGGGGAGCTGAAGGAAGTTGGGTGAAGGCTTTAGAAGGCGCTCTGCATCCAGTCTGGTCGGAAGGTGGCCTCCCCTTCCTCTCCTTCCTAGCACCACCTGCAAACTTTGTGGGCAAAGGAAGCCTTTGCTACAACGTCAGCGAGAGATAAAGGTCGGCGGATCACGCGCGCAAAGGAGCAAGGCAACCCCGCGTCTACGTAAGATGGGGACTGATGTGCCCCAGCACCCATCACATGAACACTCAAGACAATCATTTGACTTAGCCGCTGATAAGAGCCAATCCATTACACCATTTCAAGGACCGATTACACGTAGACGTGCAAAGAAACTACAACAAGAGATAAACTCGCTACTAGCTGAAACATATTTCAATATTGACGAGAATTATATACTACCTAAATCAAGTACTTTGCTATTGCTTAGGTTTACACATGCACAACACATGATGGGCATCGACAACGAGCTAGAAGATCAAAGTGACGATGGGTTACGTGAAGACGACGACTGTTTATGTCATGCTGATTTTGGAGTGCACTGTCTCCAAACATTTGCTCCAACTTCCAAGGAATGTGCGACCCAACCAGTCAACTTTCTCCATGCTTAATATATATGGTTGGAAAGATAATCAAGTTTAGTTTCACCTCCAACAAACGGCTCATCATTTCGACTTCCCAATAAGGAGTAATAGACAAATCATTGATGACTGCTAGGAAGCCAAACAGACGCGCGAGTCTTCTCGGGAATTCACTTTTTGTGACCTTTGAGCTAGCCTATGTCCAGTAAACTCCCAAGACCTTTCATTCCTATATAGGAGGGTTGTTCCTGGTATAAATATTCCCTATGTTTTATCATTTGGAGGACTTTTGACAATGAAAATATGAACCCCTTTTGTTCAGCTGTGTGCTAACAAATTCAGGGAGAAATCTCTACCCCTCTGCTTTTGTGATTTTCTTGTGAGAGTACAGAAGCGGCGTTCGACGCCCCCCAATTGGTGCTCCTGGTCCCTTCGAGGTTTTTCCTTGATTGATTCCAGGTTGTGTTGGTTGGTAAACTTAGAGTGTGGTTAGGCGAACCCTCGATTCAGGTTACCGTAATAGAGACGGTGGTTGGCTTCGAGTACGATCGTCAGGTTGCACTGTTATCTTGGCTGCTTGCAGCTAGTTATCTTGGTCTCTTTTAGGCTAGTTATCTATTCGTGATCCTACGCCGTGAAGATCGGGACGTCACCCCTACCGGGGTCGCATCAGGGACGACCGTATTGGGGATTGGGACGGATGGGTGTGGGATACATGACGCCGGTGGGTTTGTGTGTTAGTGTGACATATGTGTGAGTCTCACTTAGCAGCGCAAGGTAACAGGGAGGTGTACATGTATCTCTGAAAGACATGCCACACTATTAATTATCATGAACACTGGCACATGAATATAAAATGAATACTAGTATAGGAATTTAAAATAACATTAGATTCATGACTTATATCGGATCTAACATATCATGCCCAGATATTAAACTAAAATTATATTAGATACTTTCTTGGTATGGATTAATGTGAAAGTGAAATATAATTGAATCTGGTTAAGATGAGAATATAGGGATAGAAAAATTAAACAATAAATGGTTATGAACTAATGATTGATTGCGATGTAGGAGAGTAGGAGTAGGTAAGACTTGTAAGAGGTATATATATATATATATACACACACACAGAATTTAAATTTTTAAGATTAGTGATGTAAGTGGGGTGGATAAGTGGTTTTTTTTCCTGATAGTCACAATTTTAGTTACTTTTTCTTTCAAATTTTATACTATGAACTGAAAAATAAACTATGAAATGGATTTTTACGTGAGTAGTGAGATTGCTCACTTGTATCCCTATTTACCGCAATTGACTTTGAACACAAAAGTTTAATCATATGTCTTACTTTCACGTTTAAAATATCTTTAATAATAAAATATGTCACAACAAAATAAAGGCATAAATATTTATGACTATAATTGAACGAGCATACTGATGGAGAGATCAAGAATCCAGGTAGAAGAGCATCATGTGCGCTTTCTTTTCATAAAAAGACATTGTGCGACAATTAATAATGGCATCACTCATCTGTCGTCACTCGTCACGCATGTGCTCAATCCGAATTAACAAAGACATAAAACAAAGTTATTAGGTGAAACCACCTGCGCTGCGCTATGGCTCAGCTCCGGCTGCCACTGGCCGCGGCCACCATGGCTCTCGCCGCCGCCGCCGCCGCCGCCTTCTGCTGCTGCTGCTCCGCCGCCACTGGCTTCGAGTTCAACGAGGCCACCGTCGACGCCATCCAGCTCGGCTTCAGCAACGGCAGCCTCACCTCCACGACGCTCGTCCGCTTCTACCTCGACCGCATCGCCCGCCTCAACCCGCTGCTGCACGCCGTCATCGAGGTCAACCCCGACGCGCTCGCCCAGGCGGCGCGCGCCGACGCTGAGCGCGCCACCGGTCGCCGCTGCGGGCCGATGCACGGCGTGCCCGTCCTGCTCAAGGACAACATGGCGACGCGCGACCGGCTCAACACGACGGCCGGGTCGCTGGCGCTGCTCGGCTCCATCGTGCGCCGCGACGCCGGCGTGGCGGCCCGCCTCCGCGCCGCCGGCGCCGTCATCCTCGGCAAGGCCAGCCTCTCCGAGTGGTCCAACTTCCGCCCTGTCAAATCCGGCTGGAGCGCCCGCGGCGGCCAGACGGTGGTAACCACCACTGCCACCACACATGCTCTGCTTCTCTTCTCTGTTTGGTCGTGTATGCTCACAAGGTGTTTGTGAAATTGCCCATGGAGAATCCCTACGTGCTCTCGGCTGACCCGTGCGGGTCGAGCAGCGGTCCGGCGGTGGCGGCGGCGGCGAACATGGCGGCGGTGACGCTGGGAACGGAGACCGACGGGTCGATACTTTGCCCGGCGTCGCTGAATTCGGTGGTCGGAATTAAGCCGACGGTTGGGCTCACCAGCCGGGCTGGTGTCATCCCCATCTCCCCCAGACAAGACACTGTTGGGTAAGTAACAATTTTATGATGAGCATGTGATTTCCACTGTTTTCGTAAAAAAATGTTCCATTTCTTTTGATTAATTATCTCTGAATGTTTATGATACTGTTTTGAACATATTTATTTTTGTTAATTTAAACAAAATGCAGGCCAATATGTCGTACGGTGTCGGACGCTGCCCATGTGTTGGATGTCATTGTTGGGTTCGATGAGCTTGATGCTGAAGCGACTGGAGCAGCATCCAAATACATCCCTAGTGGTGGATATGGACGATTCTTAAGGATGGATGGATTGAAAGGCAAGAGGATTGGCATCCCCAATGGCTTTTTCACTGAAGGAGCCTATGGGAAGACACAACTGAGGGTGTACCAAAAACATCTTTCCACTATGAGGTATTTGAAATTATAAAGCCCTCCTGAAAAATTATGCGTATAAAAAAGTATGAAGATAATAATGATTAGAACAAAATTTTTTTTTGTAAATACTGTTATTTTTCTGTTGTGTTCGAATGTATAATTGGAATAGTCCATATATACTGTTTTACATATAGAATGAAAATAGATCACTGACTACTAGGCATGAGCACGTTGGCCCATGCCTCAACCACCTTTTGGATGCACAAAGGCCAGTTTCCTTTTCTTTTTTTTTCTCATTTCCTCAGTAAAATTCTTAATTTGTTTCATATGAATAAAATTTATCTTATAAGTAGCCAGTCCGGTTTATTTTATCCATCCATGATTGAAAAGAAACTCCTTGTCTTAAGATAATCCATTCATCTCCCCATAGAAATTCAGTGGTGAACAAATAATTTTAGTTACAAAAACTGTAGACTGATTTATTGTGTTCAAAATATTTGTAAAAGAAACTAATCAAGCATTGAACCATTAAAATGATAGCTAAAATCTATTCTTTTAAGTATAGATCAACAAAATATTTCACGTATATGTTGTGGAATAATAATATATTAGAACTCGCAATGAAAGACTCCATCTAGTATATAGTAAATTATGTCATCATTTAATAACTCCTATTCTCCAATAAAGGAAACACGGAGCCCTGGTGATAGAGAATATCAACATCACAACAAATTTGTCTGCCGCGCAGGATGTTCTTTATTCCAACGAGAATATCGCATTGCAAGCAGAGTTCAAGTTAAGCCTAAACGCTTATTTGTCAGACTTGCTGTATTCCCCAGTTCATTCCCTCGCCGATGTGGTAGCATTCAATAATGCACATCCTGTGGAGGTAAGTATTAAAGCTAGTTGAATTAATTAATCATTCATCACGAGTTCTAATGCCTTCAAAATTATAAAACTAGCTAGTTGCAAGGAATGTCAAATAATTTATCCTTCAACGTTCGAAAGTTATACAATAATAGTGTAGGTTTAGGTTATTGGCAAAGAAGAGAATACCAGGTTACCGATTAACAAGAATAGCGAATTTACTTTATGCACAGTGCACGGTCGAGTGCAAAAATTAAACCAGCACTTGTATTTTCTAAAAAGTATTGAATACCTTTCATATGAAAAACAAGAAGCCATGAAAAAATAATCTTTGCTGCAGGAGAGACTTCAAGATTTTGGCCAGCCCGACCTGATTGCAGCTCAAAAAACCAATGGCATTGGTCCAGTGGAAAAAGCGGCAATCCAGCGTCTCAACGAGCTGTCAGCTGATGGATTGGAGAATCTGATGAGGATGCACCAGCTAGATGCGATTGTCACCCCCAACTCTCATGCATCTAGCTTTTTTGCCATCGGCGGCATGCCCGCGATCACCGTGCCGGCTGGGTACGATGGTCATGGAGTACCATTTGGTATCTGCTTCGGTGGGTTGAAGGGCTATGAACCGAGGCTGATTGAAATGGCTTATGCTTTTGAGCAAGCTACCAAAGTTCGAAGGATGCCCAGCTTCAAGCCATAGATGGCCTAATAATTTGGCATTGCTGATGACTGCCATTGTACCAAAATAAATTGTCAGCAATGTAGGGTGAGAGAGAGAGAAGTGGAAGACATTATATCAGCAGGACGCATACTTAATCCTTTCTTACGGATTGATACGGTTGAAGGATAAACTTAGTGGTACATTATTGGTACAGACAAACTGATATCAATTTGTTCAAGAAGAGCAAACTCTACAACATTCTTATCTACTACTATATGTCTAAATTCATTAGCATTTATATAAACGTGGGCAATGCTAAAAGTCTTACATTGTGAAACAGAGGGAGTATATATCAATGCATTGGCAGTGCTAGCTCCTCCATTTTGAAGAGCGGGCAAGTACTCAAACCTTCTATGAACAGCAGATCCATGGGTTTCATTTGATCCTGAAAATCTTCCTAAAATGTATATTACTACTGAGAGAACGAGAATCTCGGCCAGGTATAAGATCGTCGCTTGAATGAGCTCGAACAACCTTGGCCAATAATTCTCTGACAAATTAATAATAGAGGCAGAAGGCATGTCTGCCAGCACTGTTGTTTGTGCTGTGCTTTTCGGGAATACGCTAGAAGCGTATTTTTGCATTAAGAGGAGTAAAACAGACATTTACAACCAAAAGCAAAAGCAGCAGGGGACAGGGGAACCGGACAAGAGAAAACACACCCCGCCACGTGCCTACACACCACCACACCGAGAGGAACACACGGCCACCTCCAAAACGATGCCTTCAAGAAGGTCACGACATTAAAAACGCCGCCATCGCCCATCCCGAAAGGATGAGGTTTTCACCTAGAGGATCCTTGAAGAGGGGGAGGGAGGCACCTCAACAACGCCCTCAAGAGGGTTGCAACGCCCAAAGACGTCGCCGTTGCCGCCCAAGAATTGGGCCGGCTTTCGCCTAGCACCTGCCAATGCCCCTCTTGCCGCTACCTCACCGACTCCCAAGCAATGTCAGCACGTGGCCTCTACAACAACGACGCCCCTCCGTCGGCTGGACTCCAAGCGACCTAACCTGCTACCAGCGCGACCCCCACAGCTACACGTTGGAATGAGCACGACCAAACCACCACTGCACTTCGGCGACCAGCTAGCCTTCCTCCCATGCCGTCACCTCCAAAGAGAGTGCCCGCCACCGCCCATCACTATCGATAACAACCTGGGGCAACCTTGCCGCCGCCTTCACCGTCTCGCAAAGGAGCTCCCCACGACCAGGCGGTCAAGAAGGGGAGGAGCTCCAAGGAGATGAGAAGGCACCCACATGGCGTCCCCTCGTCATCGCCGGTCGTGATGGCAGTGCTGTGCGGCTGAATCCGAGCTCGACCCCAGACCGGCGGCATCTCCACCGGCCAACACCTGCAGCGCCGCCACACGAGCGACGCGCAACGACCCCGCCGCCGCCATGCAAGCCGGCGTCCCAGTCGGGTCCCCCACAACGCAGCCATCCATCTGGCAGCAGCCCCCACCGGTGGTCATCCACGAGGTCCGGCGGCAAGCATCGCTGGCGCCAGCCACTGCCGCGTCGGCCCGCTGCACGGCGCCGCACGCATCGACCTCGACGCCGGCATCCTCCCGTCGCGCATGCGCCGTCCTTCCGCACGCGCCGTCTTCCCATCGTCGGTGACGCCGGCCATAACGACCCTAGCCATCCGGGAGTCGGATCCGACCTCGGGGACGCCGGATCCGGGCGGGGCGCCGCCGGAGCCGCCGCCGCCTTGCCAGGTGCCGCTCCCAGCCATCGGGCCGCCGCCGCCGCCCCCAGCCGCATCACGCCGCCGGGCCACCGTCGCCGCCCCCAGCCGCGCACCACCGCCGGGCCGCGCTGCTGCGCCAGATCCGGCCATGGGGGGTGCCGGATCCGCCGCCACCCCACACCGCCCCGCCGCCTCCACTTCTCCCGGCGGTGGGGTACCTCATCGGCGTCGCCCCGTCCACGTCGCGCCGGGAGGGAGCTGCCAAGAGGAAGAAGGACCTCGCCGCTGCCTTCCCTGCTCGTTGCCGGCTTTGCCGCCGGCGAGCTCCGGCGGCAGCGAGGCAGGGGAGAGGGGGAGGAGGCCTGGGCGGCTAGGGTTTTTGCCCCCCGACCTGCCCGCGCGAGAGCGACGCGGGGTCGTACCCACACAGCGACAGTCTTCTAACTTGCAAGCTTGACCCTGACCAAAACAAACCGCGAACGCGTCACCCCTGCCGGCCGAGCGCTCGCGCGCGAGGCAACCGAGGCCCCCAGGCCGCAACAGAACCCACGGTGCCGACGGCGTCAAGGAACACAGCGATACGCCCTTGCCGCTCGGTCGGCCCTGGCCGTCCGGCGGCGCGGCGCGATACCACGAGTTTGTGCTGTGCTCACTCACGGGTCACCTGTTTGAGATCAGAAATGCATATGAAACAGAAGTTAGCGAATTACTATAAAACTAATCCATCCGTCCCATAAAAAACCAATCTAGAATTGGAGAATACATCATTTGGTACAATAAATCTGGACAAGCTTCTGTCTAGATTTGTTAGACTAGATTGTGTCCCCTCTAATAATAGGTTTGATATTTTTTTGGGACAAAAGAAGTACGGATCTGCTTCAGTTTGCAATTTTCATTTACTTCGTTTTTTATTTCCTGATGTAATCCAGAATTCCAGATGTATTTTTAATCAGGAATTTCTTGTTGATATCAGTAAGAGTAAGTATGAATTGTAACATAGTACTGGTCCAGCTTGAAAAAAAATGTTGATAGATAAAACAGAATCAGACATCTATCTATCTTCTATCTATCTATCTATCTTCTATTATTATATACTAAAAGTCCATGAAACTTCCTATAAACGCTCTCAAACCGCCACGTGGCGCTCTAATAAAATAGAGAAAATCCTAGAAATTCTAAGAAAAAAGCAAAACATCTATCCCTTGATTTTCACTTAAATTGGTGGGTCCAATATTATACACCATTAGATAAAATTGATCTTAAAACTATTATATTATATTATATTATATTATATTATATACTAAAAGTCCATGAAACTTCCTATAAACGCTCTCAAACCGCCACGTGGCGCTCTAATAAAATAGAGAAAATCCTAGAAATTCTAAGAAAAAAGCAAAACATCTATCCCTTGATTTTCACTTAAATTGGTGGGTCCAATATTATACACCATTAGATAAAATTGATCTTAAAACAAACTAAATACCATGGGTCCCACCTATCCTATTCCCGCACATTAGCAGATGTAGTATATACGTACGTACATACGTACGCCTCCCCCCTTTTTTTCCTTTTTTTTTCTTTTTTTCTTCTTTTTTTCCATTTATAATGGATATATTTTTAAATAATTAATCATAATTTTACAAACAAAGAATCTACCATCATATAACTTAAACCGGTGTACTTTTTACTTTATACTATTATTTTCAAATAATGCACTATTTTAAAATAAATTTTACACAATTATATCATGTACCTATCAAATAAACGATATCTATATTAACTAATTTATACGTGCACTAAAACTGATGGCCTCATTATATAAATCATCGGATCTACTTTTTATTACATTGGTCTATTATTCTCAAGTAATGCACTGTTTTAAAGTAAGGTCTACACCATTATGTTGTGTACCCATTAAAATAACAATTTAAAATCTATATTAACTAATTACACTTACACTAGAACTGGTGGACATATTATTATAATCATCGGATCTATTGTTTGCTAATAAATAAAGCGTCCGAAATTCTCTTTGCCCGCTGCACAATACACGTATACACCTTTTGCCTTTCGCACGTGTAACAAAGCGTAGTGTCTGAGACATCTAAGGTGATCACAACCGATGTAGCGCTACCGTTTTGCCACATATCAAATTATATATGGAGATGATTAATTTTGTTAATAACATGAAAAGAAAATTAAAGGTGTGATGCAGCGATTAATTATTTTCCTGATTCCATATTTTGGATTTTTGTTTGCACGCTTTCTAAGTTTCTAAATGGTGTCTTATTTAAATAACATTTTAACTTTTTAGAAGTCAATTCATTTGTTTATACCCTCAGTTAGCTATCACATAAATTATATAATTCATCAATTTCAGCTATCCTAAACCTTACTACATATTTTTTTTCATGCAAGTCATGGTGATTAGTAAATTGGTGATCAATGGATCATCGAAGTCATAAGATGAATATGTAAGAGTTACTCTGAACAATTGTAAATAGGTGTTAAAATTAATTGCTATTAATTAGACATCTAATGGCTTGCTAGCCACAAAATTAATTTCTCTCTACATGTATATAAACATGGATGAAGCTGGAACAAATATTACCATATGTCCAATACATATATATTGCGCAGTTAATATTCTAATTAGTCATTTAAAATTCCTTAAAATGCTCTCAAGCTGCCACGTAAATCGGTAGGTCCAATATTATAAACCGTTATATTAAATTGATCTTAGAACAAACTAAATATTACAGGGTCCCACCTCAGCATAGTTGCGCACCTACGTGCGCGGGTTCGTACGCCTCCCCTCCCTTTTTTCATTTTTCTCTTTCTTCTTTTTTTCCCATGCATATGCTTCCCTCCCTTTATTATTATATCATGCGCCTTCATGAGATGATTTAATCAAAAGAATTTTAAGTATCTTGCACTCGCATTTTTTTATTTGCAGCCATACTACACGGTATGTATATAGATGGACTGTATGATAATTAACTACCAATAGTTTCTTATTTACTCGAGAAAAAAAACATGATTCAAAAGTTGTAAGTACTAAATTCATCTCCTACTCAAAAGTTTGTGAATGGTTTTCTAAAATACCTTAAGAAAAATAGAATCCTTAAATTATTATAAAATAACATTATTTTGCCCTAAATCTATGAGACAAATTTTTTGAACAAACAATAATCTTACCTTTCAATAATATAAGTATTGAAAGTGCCCGCGCGGGCCACCTTCCTAGTTTGATAAAAAGTCCATGAAACCTTTAATAATGGTGAGACATCATGCATGTGCCGTAGTACCTCTGGTCCTGCGGTTATTTGCGCACTGCGTAGTGCATACTCGTGATGTACGGCTGTTTTATATGCATGTGCTGCACTTATTCACAAAAGCATATGAAACACAATTGAGAGCTGAAACAGCATGCAGCTGCATTATGGGGATCATAGGTTTTTCTTTAGCCAGCAGGGGATCATAGGTTTTGATATGTAGGTTCCAACATTCCCAATGATGACAACCCTCACTGCTAGAAAAAGCATTTTTCTCAACGTGGGGGTCTTTTTTT